CTGGGTGACGGTGCGCGTGCTCCACGTGTGGCAGAGGCAGGCTACAAGGACGAGCAGTGCTGTACACAGGGCAGCCACCCTGGGCTGCAGGGAGCCCTGGGCCAGGCGGAGGTGATGCTGCGTCGAGGGCGGGCGGCCTGTGACGCGACTCGACTCCAAGATCTCGTGCTCGCCCCTCCCACTCCCAGGGTCTCGGTGCACGAAGGGAAACAGCTGATGGCGGACTCAGGGCCGATCTATGACCAGACCTATGCTGGCGGGCGGCTGGGGCTGTTCGTCTTCTCTCAGGAAATGGTCTACTTCTCAGACCTCAAGTACGAGTGCAGAGGTGAGTGCGCTCGTGGGGCGGGCGCAGATGCCAGACGCCTGACATGCGTCAGGGTACTGCGTCCCGGCAAGCCCGGCTCCTCGGGCTGTTCAGAGCGTGGACTGAGCCTGAGCTGTCTGGTGGGACAGACCTCTGCCGCCACGGCTCCACCCAGCCCGCCCACCGCGCCCTGCAGCTGCCCGGGTGCGCCCTGCAGCTGCCCGGGTGCCCCGTGGCTCCCTCCAAAGGCAGTTCTTGCTGGACTTGGGGGGTGGCCTGAGGAAGGGGGGAGGCAGGAGGGGACAAAGGACAAAGTTCCCCTCCAGTGATTTCTCTGGGAAATGCCTGCTTCTGGCGAGCAGACCGAGTGCGGAGGGCAGCGTGCGGGGGAGCCAGGCCGGCCCCTCACCTGCTCTGGCGCAGTTTCCTTGTCCGCAGGTGGAGATGCCTTTCGAGACATTTCACGTTTCTGTCGGGCCTTCCATTCATCTGCCCACATTACGATATATTAATCAAGATGATAATACCGTCCGCTACGGGGCTGCCTGCTTCTGGCAAGCAGACCGAGTGCGGAGGGCAGCGTGCGGGGGAGCCAGGCCGGCCCCTCACCTGCTCTGGCGCAGTTTCCTTGTCCGCAGGTGGAGATGCCTTTCGAGACATTTCACGTTTCTGTCGGGCCTTCCATTCATCTGCCCACATTACGATATATTAATCAAGATGATAATACCGTCCGCTACGGGCAAAGCTGAGCTGGGCCCAGGGCTCGACCCCAAGCCTGTCTGTTCCTCCTTTTCGCAGATGCCTAGACCAGCTCGCTGCACCACAGGGCCGTGTGTGCTGTCACTGCGACTCCTGGCCCGGTCCTCACGGCTACCCTAACAGTGCAGACCCTCCCCCGCCACCAGCCCCAGCTGTGCCTTCAGGGATAACTTAGAGAACCACAGACCCGAGCCCGCAGGAGAGGAGCTGACGGGAGGGGAGACTGCGGTGTGAGCCAGCCACGGCATGCCACGTCTTGTGGCCTGGGCAGCACAGCGTGCCTGGGAGATGCACTCGCTGACAGTCTTTATCTGTACGGAGCTGGAGGGGCTCTTGCGCGAAAGCCGTTAGCATCGGTTAGGCACGAAAGGCTTGTGCACCTGCTTTCAGGGTGCCCTGTCATCGCCCTGCTTGGACCAAACCCCCAGTGACTCCTCCTCCCGCCGGGTCGGGGTGGGAGGGGTCTCCAGGGTCCATGAGCTTG